TCGGACTAAACAGAACAAAAAGTCATCAAGTTTCTTAATGAAATTCTTCTTTTCAAGATAAGGTTACAGTAGAATTCAAAAATTCACTATCTGGTACTTAATGACTTCATTCACTGAATTAGTTGATCAAATAGTTTATAAAACCAATTAAGTGAGGTTAACAAATTAACCAATTAACTCACATTTATTTATTTGCAAGATTGTAAAAGTAAGTGCGTCGTGGTTTCAGTTTTTTTTTTTTTTTAATGTTATGTAAATGTTAAGCATTTTAATTAATTGTCTGAAATAGGAAATATTTGGTAGTTTAAATAAGAAAAAATAAATAATCGAACTGCTATTTACTATTTAGTATTTATATAATGGATCGGAAACTTCAAATTCGATTACCTCAAATTCATTAAAATGTTACTTAATGACTTTTTGTAATACACCGACGATATATTATATATCTATACATGTGTATATACGGATTTTTTTTTCCAGCCTTCTATTTTATTTTTTAGCTATTACATATAAAGTACAATAATATACATCTTTGTCAAGGTTTGTCCTTGCACTGCCCTACGGAATTTTAAGAAAAGGCGTTGAGAACTGGTTTGAACATTGTGGCAAGAGGACGTGCAACAATCATTGAACTGAAAATGAACAATTCTGGGAATGAAGCAATGAGAGATGGTAAAATGACATAGCGGTTAGGAGTCACGGATAGTTAAGAAATTTCAAAACCATGGATAAAGGGTATTACGAAATAAATTCTATGAGGTGGGTTGTATTTGTGAGATGTATGGTAGCGTATGATAAAATATTGCCAATCTACTTCAATTTCGATGTTATGTATAAGTAGGTAAGAAAATGACCCAGTATCAAACATACTAATGACACCAGTTTACTATGTTAATGTTAATTAAGCGGAATAGCATTATGGATATATGTATATAATTTGAACATATCAAGCAATAAACACACAAACAATATTATCCTATAGTAATAATAATAACAACAATAACTTACGTATTTAGTTTAATTATTGTATGGTTTAAGGTTTCGATTTGATCATAATGTTATTAGGTCAAGAATATAACCAAGGTGTTTATAGTTAAATCAATAATATAGCGCATATGTTTATATTGATTATACGTTACAGGAGGAATAACAACAGAAACCTACTTAGATATCTCTGCTTCAGAGGTTAAGACTTCTAGTTATCTAATTCTTTTTTACTTATACAATAGATTTTACAATATTTTTTTATTTGGTTACTCTCACAATTTAATGACCTTTCTATTCAACCATCCCAAAAAAAGCTAAGGCAAAACGTATATCACTTTTTTGCTTCCAAGAAGTTGTTTTAAATATATCAAAATTACCTAATTAAATAATTTAATAGTGGCTAATTTTCATAGTACACCTAAATGGTTCAATGAAGGAACAATATATTGCAAACATAATAATAATAATTAGCAAATTCATATTAGAACACGTAAATTAAATTAATCTAAATGGTTTTTATCAAATACCTGTTTAGTGATGAAGAAATGTGAAATAAAATGTATCGGTATATATATATTATACTATTAATTGATATTTTTGGTTAGAAATTTGAATAATAACTATTTTATTAATAGTAATAATTATATATATATACATATGTAGGCGTAATTGTAAAACCTTTTATTTAACATTTCACCAAAAGTCTTGTAAATAAAGGCTCGCTCATTAATTTTAATATGTACAATGTGTCATATTTTGTTTTTTGTAATTTCAGAGATATATCAATATGTATTAAAACAAGAGAAAAATTATCAAAATTTTTACTTTTTTCTAGTAGAAATATGCGTTTGTTTTTATTGCTTCACAAGATTTTAGAAGTATGCTATCGAAATAATAATTCGTTTATTATATAAAACAAACAAATTAGTATGTGCAGCCGGTAAGGCGGGAGACCATATACATAAATCAAGACTGTTATTTATTTTATTTTATGATAATGTTTAAAGTGGATAATAATGGCTTTAACGTACAAGACGAGTCTTGGTCTAGCGTACTTAATCTTGGTCTTGCGCAAGAGTCTCGCAACAGTCTTGCAGTTACCTGTTAGCTTATTACTGTAGAGATATTACGGTAATTTTTTGGATAGGAGAAACTTAATTAAGCCGAATGAAAAATTAGAATAGTTAAATGCAAAAGTATGTTGGTTAGACCAATCCTTTCCATACAGTAACTTAAATTGTCAAGTATTAGTAACTATTTTGTCTAAATTTTTATTTAAAAAATCGATTTTTTTTTCTTTATGCAGTCTTGGTCTTGCAAAGACTGATTTTGGGCAACACTAATATAAATTGAAAAGTTACTGATCATAAATAAGAATATGTTTAATTTACATGATATTGCTGGAATAAAAAGCTCAGATTTTATAATGAAGAAAATTTTATTCATAAAATTATGTACATTTTTTTTGTCTATTTATTTTATCAATTCTTAAAAAATTTAAATTACTCTTCTCTGTCTTGTCGATTATTAATAGTGTATTAAAAGTTATTATTGACTTCACGGAAGAAGTTTACATTTATAATAATATAGTAAGTAATATATTACTATAAAAAATTTAATATACAACTATTAAAAATGTATGGTTTAGTTTTGATTGTTAGCATCATTGCCTAAACTTGAGTTTACTGAGAATTTATTTAAATATAAAAATAAGCAAATTAAATCAAATATCCATAGCAAAATTATGGTTTATATAATATATAATAATTTAATTATAATTATTATATAATAATTTCCTTCTCACTATATTTATTAATTGCACTTCATAAATAAAATGTTGAATAATTTAGAAATTTATTCCTTGTTCAGTCCCGGCGATATTCATCACGTTTTCATTTACTGTAATTCCATTACATTTGTTTATTTTATTCTATTTTTGAATTAGTCCCGATAAATTCTTATTTTTAAATTCTTATCCCTTATTTTTACGGTCTTCTTGCATATCAGTACTTCACAAGACAAAACAGCCGTATGTTCCGTTATTTAGAACTATTGTTTTTTTTTTTATTATAATAATTCTTTTATATATATATAATTCTTTTATATATATATATATATATATATATATATATATATATATATATATATATTTATGATATAAGTTGAGGACAGGGCACATCCCTTAGACATAGGCGGGGGCTGGCTTCAATCACCGACTTGAGGTAAACCATTACATGGCGCCCGTGAAGAAATCTTCTTTTTCTGGATATCCATGATTGAATGTATACAGAAATAGAATAATCATCTGCTTTTCCGATTGAAAAATACCGGATCTACTGTCTGCTTTATCATCACAAACATTTTACAACTATAAATTTATCTTGTGTTTGCTCAACTATCACCTACGGGAATTTGTGATTTTCATAAACTGTATATTTCTACACAAAGTACTACAATTTATGAATTTTAATATAAATATATAATTATATTTAAAAAATATGCAGTGAACCATAATTCATGACTTATCTTTACTTTTTCTGACAGATGATTCACTTAAGAATGATTTTAGAATAAAGTATTTTTATTTTTTCTTATATCTTAGTGGAACAACAAATTTCAGACCTCATACTAGTACAAAAAATCATTAAGAGTCCTTTGGGTGTGTATATGTATTTTTTTTATTTGATGTTGTATCCGTACTTCATGAAAAAAAATATGAATTAATCATTAATATATATTAAAAAATTAACCGGATGTGAAATCGATCTGTAGATATTTTTGTTATTAGAAACCGATAAATAATGATCTCGTTTTCCGAATAAATATTTTTTGGAGTTGAAAACTAACATAGTACATTTTGTTTTAATTCATAAAACATTTTTATCTATTAACGAAACACGTGAACATTATCCAATGGTAGAATTAATTATTATATAAATAATAGTAATAATTAATATTAATATTGTTTATTTTTATTGAACTGTTTTAATAATATCGAAAGTCTTATTTTTTTCCCTTATTTTTATTTGTTAATTAATTATAATAGCGATATAAATACACAAATCGATAGACACTCAATGATGACAGTATTTAATCTATAAAACGATTACAAATAAGCTATAGTTAAATCAAACAGTCTCCAAAGTAATAACATAAATTCATTTCAAACGGAAACATAAACTCAATTTCAAAAGTTTATACGGAAAAATAATTATTTTTCAAAATAAAATTGATATTAACTAGTTGATACACTAATAAAATAATAATGAATAGGAAACAAACATGAAAATGGTACCAACGTTTAAAATTAAAATACACAAATCAACAAATTATTATAGAAATATAAAGGTACCTACCCATTGCATTCGGCAGAATTATCAAATCATTTATAAATTACAAAACATTACATGATTATAATACAATAAAAATATCTTGGGTATTTATTTAACAATTTACTCTAAAACCGCAAGTTATGAACTCATTGGAAAATCATTGGTTCTAATACTGTGATAAGATTTACTTGGATTTTTTAAATTTATGAATCCCTTTGATATTTTGTACATATATGATTATAGAAACACAGAAGTAAGGAGAGATAGATGAAAAAGTTCCCGGAATAAGAAAAAAAAGTTTATTATCATACTCCTGATAATATTCTTAAAAAATTAATATGAGTGATTATACAAATAAATACTTTATATGAACAGTTTATTGAAAATATATGACAATTTAATGTTTTTCATGTAATAACTTCCATTTGAATTATTTATTGATTGTCAGATATTACATGCCAAACGAAATTCTGATTTTATAGTAAGTGAAATAGTAAAATTATACTCCTACTCTTTTTAGTGTTTAAAACATAAATATTATGGTTATTATATATAATTTATAATAGAACAATAACAAATATTAATAATTAAACATGGGATGGCAATAATTATCTTGGTATTATAAGTTGTAATAACCTGAGGTAATTAGTAAACTAAGAAATAGTAAGGTTATGTTACCTGTCAGTGTTGGTAGTACTGTGCAGCTGGGCGGAATCCGAGCTGGCAGGAAGGGTTCGCCTCGAAGATCTCCTGTTCCGGATACCACCCCCTGTAGGCCGGGTCTTCATATTGGCAATAGCCGTACATCGAAGTTGAAGGTCCCTGGATACGACCAGGATACGGCACCAAAGAGTCGACGCTGAAGTCGTACTGTTCGGACTTCACGTCTTGATACTTGGAACAAGGACTCAGAACCGGCTCTCTCTTCGGTTTCACTTCTTTTTCTTTCTTCTCCTCCGGCCGCTTGATCATTTCCTGCTGTCTCTTCAGATTCTCCTCTTTCTCTCTGAGAGCATCTTTCTTCTTGAAGCGCCGCCGCCTCCTCAAGTAGGATCCATTGTCAAACATGTTGTAACTGTCCGGATCCAGGGTCCAGTAGCTTCCTTTGCCAGGTTTTTTGTCGTCCCGCGGAACTTTTACGAAACACTCGTTGAGAGATAGGTTATGTCTAATCGAATTTTGCCAGCCTTGCTTGTTTTCTCTGTAATACGGGAAACGCTCCATGATAAATTGGTAAATTCCGTTGAGCGTGCACCTCTTCTCCGGAGCGTTCTGGATGGCCATGGCGATTAGTGCAATGTAGGAATAAGGAGGTTTAACCATATCTTTACTGGGATGGTGATGTACCTGTTGGGCTCCATAGCCGCCTGGGTAACCGTAGCGGTAGCCGTCGTAACTTGGGTATCCTGCTCCATAGCTCCGGTAGTAGTTCTGATCCCCGAAAAGTGTGTGCATCGTAAAAAACCACCGGTTATTATGAGACACAACAGAGTGAAGTTGACACAGCGGGAGTGAGAAAACAGTGTAGGTTTGTTGGCTTTGGACTGGGGTACCCCCGCCCGAGCGGTGTGGTGGAGGGGGTAAATCCCGCCTTCGAGGCAGTCTCCGCCCACTTAGCCACGCCCCCTACCCCAACGCTTCCTGCTGTAAAACTGATAAGCTTATTACATTTTTCATCCTCTCAAAGCGGTATGGCTAATTGAGTCGACTCTTTAGGAATTCATTTCGCTCGTCTCTATTTCGAAATGTTTTCAGAGAAAATAAAAGCGCTTTAAGCCCACCCAGAGTGGAAAATAACCTAAATTTTGGACGTTTTGAGGACTAGGTCATTTGGCATTAGATCAATATAGCAATAGTTATTTGTCATTTCAAAGAATCAAATTGGATGTTAAAAAAAATATTTAAATATAAAATAAAAAAAAATGCATATATAAAGTGTTAAAAAAAAAAAAAGGAACGTATTACGAATGGGGAAAAAATAAAATCAATTGTTTAATTATTCCAACCACTAGCGGATCCAGGTTTTATTTTTGGGGAGGCTTCAGCCCAAAAGTTTTTTTTTCATAAAAATAACGGTAATTAATTTGGAAAAAAAGGGAAATAAACTAACTACCTGTATGAAATGGTGTTTAAGTGATTCCTAAAGCCCTTTTAAATGTAATTACACTACTATAATAATAATAATACTTTAACAGATACTTATTTTATATTTGTTTCGATAAAACATAGTTATATTCTACCATTTGGAGGGGGAGGAGGGGCTTTAGCCCGAAGGCCCCTCCTCCCGTAGATCCGCCTGTGATTCCAACCTATATATAACAAATATTTAACATCCTATATAAGACTTATTAAAATCACGAACCAATGATATTTAATAGCTACAGATAATACGAATAATTAATATGCATAGTATGCTTGCAGGATTGAGAAAGAAAAACAATGCTAATCAATAAAAATGAAGAAGAATATGAAGTGTCTTTGCTACCACGAAAACACAAATAAAAATGCTCGGATAGTATGGATATAAACAACTTTCTTATATCGGAATGAAGGAAATCCAAATAAGAAGTTTACATTTTTGGATTTAAAAAAAAAACGTGATTTCCTCTTTCGTATCCTTTGGCAGTAGTTCAAAAGAAGTGAACGCTCTATTGGAGGAACAGAGAACACGGGTTAGTCAATCTGATTCTTTGGGTGACCACACTACCACTAAAGCCAGCGAAAACCAGAACCAAAGTCAAATATCGAAGATCACAGAGGATTGGATCTGGAGGAAGTTAAGGTTCTATATACGTAAGCGAGAGTACAAGGTGGTCCAGACTCCCCACCCGTCCAACCCTATTAACACATTACTATTAATTTAACATCATTGTGTCAGTTGCCAAAAAATCCAATATTTCCAGAAAAAAATAGGTGCCGTACTTTCCCAGTAATGGCGGCAAAACATGGCGGACCAATTAATTCGTCTTCAGTAGGTGTTTCGGCTATTGACGTTCAACATTTGTCCTAATGTTGCCAATCACTTTTTAATGTTTATATTAGCCTGTTCTATTAAAGCTGAACAATCAAAGAATCGGAAAATATATTCAAAAAATCGGCTGAGCCAATAAAAAAAAAATATTATCAATTAACGTCGTTCGCACGAAAGTTGAACATTCATATCTATTTATAATCAAACGTTTAACAATCTGAAAACATTTACATACCACTCTACATTCAAACTTTTAACAGAAATTATTGTCTGGAAAATTGGACTATTAAAAAAGTTTTTAAAATGTATTTTTAAGGCCTCAAAACATTTAAGACACATTTGTGAATTTCGGTCATATTTATTAATGCAAAAACTCATTAAAACCTACAAAATAAAACATCTGAGCTCTATATATAGAGAGGGATTCGAAAATACATTTGTTTAATTTATGAATATGTGAGGATTATATCACATAATAAATTAAATCTCCATCACTTTTATACGTATTTAAACTCTTATTTCTTTCCCATTTTCCTTAAAATACAGTTACGAGCTAATCAATACTGCATCGATAGATCAAAAGTCGTCACAATAATTATAAATGGTTAATGTTGAGGTTTCACATATTCATCAAAATCTTCTGCTTCTTTCATGGCGCTACAACTATTGCAGTGTCTGGGAGGGTCTCCTGCAATTTGGTCCGCCAATCATCTCTGTTGGCTGAATCTTCGGATGGATGGATCTCGCATCGGTTAACACAGCATCCATACATCGCAACCGGGGTTTTCTCACTCTTTTGAAGGCATAGATTTTTTTCATCCAATATCCTACGAGATTTTTGATCTGATATCATCCTTGCGACATGGCCAGCCCACCGGAGGAAGAGGTGAGAGGGGGCTAACCGTAACAACCAATGCAGTTGCCCTAATATCCTCCAGACACCACTACTATTTATGGGACCAAATATCTTTCGCAAGATATTTCATTCAAATCGAAGGAGAAGAGATTATAGTACTGTTAGTGCCACCCCCAACATTCTGAGCCATAGGTTAACACGTGTCGCATCAAGACATATTATAAATGCTTATCTTCATTCTGCGAGAGAACACTCAACTTTTTAAATTAAGAACAAAGTAGCATTTATTGGCCTCCAAGAGTCCTATCTGAATTTTCCCTTATAGATCATCATAATTCACTTGGGAGCCTAGGTAACCGAACTCATCAACCCTCTCAAATTTCTTGTTTCCTATCTCTATTTGGCGGAGGTTAGGGATAACACCATGAAATTCTTCGAGCATGTATTTGTCTTTTCTTCATTAAACACTAGTCCCTCTTCAACTGCATCTCTTTGAAACTAATCTATAATGCCCATATCATCGGAAAAAGTCAGGATCGTTGCAGATTTATTAAATACGGTGTCTCCCAACTGAACTCCAAAGATAAAAAGTATGCACGCAAGACAGTCAGTCACCTTGCCTTTATATTGGTGAAAACTAGTGATGTCCAAAATCTGTTTTAGTAAGACTAAGACTGCCTAATTGTTGCAGGACCAAGATCAAAACTGGTTAAAAAAAAAAAAAAGGAATAAATGAAAATATAAAAAGCGTTTTTATGAATAAAAATGTAGGCAAAATAGTCGCTAATACTGGCCAATTTTAGATACTATATGTAAACACTTGATAGAACCAATATAAGTGTAAACTGATCAGGGAAATTAGTCTAATTCAGTTCTATTATTTTTAATGAACATATTTAAAATTTAAAACAAAAATGTTAAAAATCGGTAGACAAGCCATGTGAGTGGAAACACCAGATATTTATTTAAATAATGGTGACATTGTCAATCTATACAACTGTTCCATTCCTAGGTGGGGGCTTATCACTTTCTTGACAATGCCTTTAATGTATTGTCAAGTTAATTTTATTAATTTGGTTGGAGTTTGCTTTGTTTATAACCATAAAACATCTAAATGTACCTGTTCTGCGTTTTTCTAAAATCTAAAATAACATGTTTAAAAATATAAGTAATAGGTAACTGCAAGAATCTTGCGCAAAACCATATTTATTTTATTTTATTTAAAACACTGTATTCAGAAATATTACAATTTGTCACAGTTTAAGGACACTTATAATAGAGTTCAGAGATTGCATTCATACCGTATATACAAAAATATAAATAAATAAAGTAATAACAAAAGAATAAGAAAAAAGAACAAAAGAGTAAAGAAAAAAAAATATATATACACATAAGTAAATAAAAATAGAAATAAAAGTAAAACAAACACCTTATATAAAAACATACATTATTTACAATTTGCCAGGTGATCTCCGAACCAATCCTGTCCCCTCCACATGTGGAGGGAAAAGGGAGGCTTAGGAGATCCCTACGCTTCTCCCTCAGCCACTTCACTGGTATTTTAAACCAGCGGAGGATGAGTAAGAGTGCTACAGCCACAGACACTCATGACTTGAGTGGAGAATCTGGCCATTGCTAGAACTCCAAACATATTTATTAATCGTAAATTTATTTAAATAGTAAAATACAACTGTACGGTGATAGTGCTGATTTTGTCGGCATTTCATCGCGAGCGCAAAAAACTTCAGCAAGAAAAGAGTGTCTCACCTTACAGCAAAAACGGGAAATGGTTTGCTTATGAGCTACTGAATATTGTATTGGAAGTTGGCGTACCCAAATCAATATTGTCAACTGCTGAGTGTTTAGGTGATGACACGATGATGAAGATCATTGATGACAAAAAAAATACACTTGCTAGCAACAAAAAAAAAAAAAAAACCGAGAGCCCTTGAGAAAGAAATCTACATTCTTTGATGAAAACTTTTCTTTTTTTTTTTTTTAAATTTATATATTTAGAAATATATTATTCTGTCACGTAGACAATAATTACAGTGAGATATGAACACATTCACTCCATATATACAGAAAACATAAAGTTAACAAAAGTAAAATAATAATCAAACAAATATGTACAATTAAAGAAAAATAACCTAAATATAAGTAAATTAAAAACATAAAAACTCAGTCATACCTATATTGTATGATGAAAACTTTTGAAAGCATTTCTGAATATTTATAACATCTTTATTTAAAAAATGAGTGTTTTCCAGTCGGATCTTACTTCCTGGAAAAATGGCGACTGATTTAATTGTGGGCCAGTAACTTGAGGATCGAAATGGGAAATTCGTTGTGAAAAAAGATTTTATTTTCTTAACTCGTTAGAACATATCAGTTGAGACATGTAAAAACAAAATTTCTGATCCGAACCACCGTGGAAAAACTTTTTATATAAAAAAAATGCCAGATTATTTCGATATTTTTTTGTTTTTTTCATCTATAGTTCCTAAACGGTGTAATAAAGTGAAAAATTAAATAAAGTTTTTTCTGTCATAAATTAAATAAAGTTAAATTGGGCATCGAACGAGTACCTAAACTTAATAATTTGATTAAGTGACGCCGATTTTTAACAAATTCGTGAAAAAACGACAAATTACTATAAATAGCGCTGCAGCAGGGGAATGAGTTCTCTAAGAAAAAAACT